TCCTCTTTGTGCTGGCAGCAACCAACTACAAGCCTTGACTTCTCCTATCATCCAAACCTGGCTCACGGTTTGCACCTCTGCTTATAGCTAATGGCTTATTTGGAAGAAACAAACCAGATGTGGTTTGTTGCTCCCAGCAAGACATGGCCAGGAGCAGATGAAGCCTGAAGCAGGAACTTCAGAGCAGCATGCACTAGCATGCTGCTCATTCATGTTAAACCACAGTTTAGCATTAACTACAGTTCAGTAGGATGTGCAAACATAGCCAGAGGCTAATTCCCCTCTGTCAAACACTCCTTAAAGCCAATATTAGAACCTTGAGCAAAAAAGAAATCAAAGTAATAATTAGGAGCTAGGTAAACCCAAAGCAGCACTGATGAAAAATAAATAAATAGGTCCGTAGCTTCCACATACTAATTGCCACCTTCTTAACCCTTTTTGTCACTGACAGCCATTGTATGTACGTTGTATGTGCTTGTCTGAGAAAAAGAAAATAATTCAAACTCAAATCTATTTGATGGAGACATCAGAATTGCAAATAGTATAAAGAAAGCACACACACGGATGCATGCCAGTGGTTCTTGTGCTTTGAGCTCTGCACTGAAGTGGACCTATAGGCTATGTAGCTCAGCGCTTTACACATGGGCCAGGTTCATTCATTGGTATCTGCAGTTAAAGGATCTCTGGGCCAAACAACATGTTATGTTAAATGTGTGGTTTGTTCTTGCAACTTTCTTTTTTAAGGAGCTGTGGGATTGAGGTTTGATTCAGACTGGAGTGATGGCAGTGGTGGGATTTAAGCACTTCCTCCTGTGCCACAGCCCTGATGAGACTCCTCACTGCTTGCACAAAGGGAAGAACAGCGTACCTCCCAGTGCAAATAACCTTGGGGTATTTTGATTGGGACCGTGGCACAGAGGATACTTCCCCCGCACGCACGCACCAGCTGCTCCTATTCAGAAAGAAAGGAAGCAAGTGAAACCACACAAAACATAGTGTATAGTTTGGCCTGCATTAAACAGTGCTATTCCGGAGAGCAGAGAGACCCTGTGATCTGGGGATTCCTGTCACTTGTGTCTTGCATCCATTCATACCCACCTTTGCCCCACCTTCAGTAAACAATTACAACTGCACAGAAATTTTAGCTTGTGCTGCAAATACAGGAAGCCGACTTGCAGATTTGTTCAGTATGATGGGTGTGTTTGTGTGAGAGAGAAACAGTGTGTATGTGTGTTACACACACACACACACACACACACACACACACACACTTTAAGAGCAAACTTTTTTTTGCATAAGCTTTGAATGGGCCTCTCCGGTTGCTCATGGGTTAATAGTTCTGTCTTGTAAATTGTTTCCCTTTGCCAAAGTGGGTGTTGCTGGAATGTCTCTTGTAAGGAGGGGGGCTGAGCTGTGTCCTCTGGAGAGGGGCGATGTCAGCATCAAAAAGGCACAAAAGGGGGAGGTTTCCAAAAATAAAACTGTCCATCCTCTCCAGAGCCAGCCAGTGCCAGAGGCAAGTGAGAAGGTGCTTGGAGCTGTCTTCAAGGAACACAAGCTCTGACAGCCAGAGGGAGAGAGGGGACGGGGAGAGGAAAGACGGGGCGTTCTCATTCTTTCTAAGGTATGAGGACTGCAGCTGCAGCTTTGGGAAACCTGCACCGTTGGGCTTTCTCTGTGCTCCTGCTCCTCTGAGCATTCCTTCCCCTCCAGACAGCAGGTACTGATTAAGCCTTTTGCATACATGTACCTGAAGATGTGAATGGCTTCCAAACGTGCCTGAGGAATTTAGCCCAGCTGCCCTTTCTTCCTCCTCCTCCTCCTCTTCTTTTTTCTAAACTCCAGTTGCACTCTGAGTTATATGAAACTTCCAGTTCAACAACTGAGTGCTTTCCCTCTTGGACAGAAACCATGAAGGGATCCTGGAGGAGCCTTCTCCCATTTACTGTAGCTCTTTTCGTAGGGGTTGGCGAATGTCAGAGAGACTTTGCTGGGCAATTTGACCCAAGTCCTTCCTTCAGAGCTGACTCCGGAAGCAGAGAGACGACTCAGCTGAGATTCCGGAGCCAGGGGAGTTCAGGACCCGCAAACAAAGTATTCAGTTTGTTCCAGGTACACAGTTCCCCTTCTCCCTTGGATCATGTTCCTGTCACCCCTAAGACGGATGTAGCCTCTAACGCCTGGGTGAGAAACTTGGCAGGGAGGGAAAACAGAAAGCCGCACTCTGCTCCCACAGACCGCAAGCTCCCTGCTCCCACCAATGTCAGATCCCAATCCATCAATCCTGGGACAAGAGCTGATGCTCCCGGCAGAAGCCCAAGCTGGACTCCACAGAGACAGAGAGTGGACACCTCACACCAGTGGCTACGGAATGGGCCGAGGCCACAGACAGCGACACAGCCGAGGATGCAAAACTCCCGAAGCCGAATGGTAGGGTAAGTGCAGAAACCACTTTCAAACTGTCAAGCAAGGTACTTGCAAGATTTGACAGCTGCTTCCTCACAGTCAGAGCAGTGCTATGATGGCAGTTTTGCCATCAAACTTTAGTTTTCAGGGCATGGCAGCTAACCCAGAATCTAGTTGCAATGATGTTGTCCCAGAAAATGCCCACCTTTTTCAAAGAAAGAGCGAACTAGCCAGATCTTGTATCACAAAAGAATATTAAGACTGTGCAGTGTACAGCAACAATGCACAGCACTGTCCCATGCATCACAACAATATGAACTGTGGTCTGCTTAAGCTGTTCTGTCATCTGTACCTGAGGGAGATGTACCTAAAGGTGATTAGAAACGTCACAACTGATAGTTTCAGTGTGGTATATATATATATACCGTATACATGCCTAAGGCCTGTTCACTGCCTGGGCAATATGCATACACATTGAGACGCTGAGTGCATTTAACACACCCACCCACTGTCATTGTGGTGGATGTGCTTTTGCTCAAGATGTTCACAAAGTAGTCATGTGCCATTCGTGTGTACAAAAAAAATCCACTTTGATTTCCAGTCTGTGGGGTTTGCTGCACATGTCAAGGTTTTGGTGTGCAGATGAACTGTTATGATGCGCCTGTGTTACTGCCCTTTTGTTAATGCTATGGATCTGTTGATTTTTTAAGAAGAGGGTGTTAAGTAACCTGACCACCTATGCAAAACGAATCTAAACAAAGTGTAGTTCCCACACATCTTTTTCTTGTATAAAAATCTTGGTTCTGTGATGTCTACTTTATTAGTATTATTGCTTGCTTAACTGTGTTGATCTTACAGCCCCATGGAATATATCAGGCCATTTAGAATGTGCTTGTAATATATTAAACAGGACTACTGGGGTTGCATTTTTTTCATTGTTGGTAGTGGGAATATTATTTCAGTTGTCTGCATTATGTTCTTCATCCAAGGAGCTTGTATAGCGCAGATGTTCTCAGACTGTGGTCTGTGGATCACTGATGGTCTGCAAGCTCCTTTCAGGTGGTTCATAGAAATGGTGCAGAACAGGTGAGAATATATGTGCTTGGTGATTTTTCTCTGAGAACAGAACTGGAGACTGCTTTAAACAGAATCAGATTTATCAAAAAGGCTAACAAGGCATTGGTCTAGGGCCTGTGATGTTCATTAGATTTTATTTTTACACTTTTATTATATTTTTCAAAAATCTTTTCAATGTTATAAGCTACTTGGATATATTTTTGTGATATAGTGGCATATAAATATTTTTTATATAAACTAATAAATAACATGGCACTGTTTTTTAATGATGATGCCAGTAGGGAAATGGTCCACCAAGACCCCCAGCAATGTTCAAGTTGTCCACACACACAAAGTTTGAGAACTGCTGTAGTAATGAACAGGGAGGCTTTTATGAACATCCCTCAAGCTGTGTTGCTATTTTAAAATCTGCTCCTAGGGAGCGCTCTCTGTCTGAGTTAGGCTGGGTCCCTCTGCTGCTTTTAAGAGACTCTGGTGATTCACTGTGCTGCTATCACCCCAGCACTTGAACTTGTCTCCAGTATTTTGTGAGGTGATGATATCCCACATGTGCCCATTCCACTATTTCCTGTGTAGAAATGACAGGGCAGATATAGATCGTGGCTAATGCTATGTGTATACTGATTCCCAAGTCTTATTCCATATTTTCCAGTGCATTTCCCTGTCACTTTCCTTATCACAAAAAGTATGACTTTTGGGGGAAGTGAATTTGTTGTGCAAGACCTCCCAAGCAACTACAGTGATACCTTGGGTTAAGAACTTAATTCGTTCTGGAGGTCCGTTCTTAACCTGAAACTGTTCTTAACCTGAGGTTCCACTTTAGCTAATAGGGCCTCCTGCTGCCACTGCGTTGCTGCCGCATGATTTCTGTTCTCATCCTGAAGCAAAGTTCTTAACCCGAGGTACTATTTCTGGGTTAGCGGAGTCTGTAACCTGAAGCGTCTGTAACCCGAGGTACCACTGTATAACAGTGCAACCTGAATTTGCCAGTAATATGTGATTGAATCCCACCCAAAAATAGTGACACTCTGGAAAAGGACTCTAGTGTAGGGTGAGAGGGTTAGCTCCTTCCTCCTCACATGTCCTTTAATGTCATCTTGCTCCTCTGGCTGCAAGAAAAGCAGACCTCAGGAAGGTGTTAGCTTGTACTATACTGCTTAAGGGTCAGATCAGATAAATTCATCCCAGCAAAGAGCTCTCGTATGGACACTGGCCTAGAGAATGTCAACTTCACAGATTTCAAATATATGCTTTGTTTTTTTAAAAAACTGAGTATTTGGCAATCCTTACTCTTGCTTCTACCTATATTCCCATGTAAATAAGGCTTCAAAAGGAGTGCAGTCAGCAAACTACTTTGCTGATGCATGCTGGACATAGAGCTGCATGCAGAATTGGATCTGCTGTTGAATCACTATAAAGCAGCTCCCAGGAGTGTAGGAACATCAGAAACTGATTAGGATGGCTTCCACTGGCTGGCAGAGTCTCTCCAGGATTTAAGATAGGGAGTCTATCCCAGCCTTACCTGTGAATACCAGGGATTGAACCTGGGGTCTTCTTCTGGAAAGCAGATGCTCTACCACTGAGCTATGGGCAATTTAATGTGCACTGTGGGTTGAGATGAGGGAGAAATTCAGTTCAGTTTGCAATTTATGGCAACAAGATGCAAACTGAAACACACACACACACACTTCGGAATTTGCACTTCTCTGAATTTTGGAATGCAGCTCTCCAGCTACAGATTGTGTGCAAAAATGCATATACTACTCAGTGTGTGCCTATAAATGCATATATTAGGGAACATAACATGGAAAAATGCATTCTGTTAGGAAAGGTGCTTTGCAAAAATGCGTACATTAGGTAAAATTGTGCGCACACAATGTGCATATTAGGAAAATTTTGCACCAAAATGCTGATCAACTTGCACAAGGACTTAAAAATAAATGAAAAATCCAAACTGGTGTGGAAATGTGGACAACTGAACGTATGGTTGGAAAAAAATGAGAAAGTGAGAGATATTGAAATTAACATATCCACCCATCCTTAACAATGGGGCAGGGGGTTGGGAGAGGAGCAGAGCTCTTCCTCTGCCTATTTCCCCTGAAACCAAGGGTCTGTGATTGGAAATATCCCTTTCTGGAAAGAGAGAAAGAGAGATAGAGACAGTTTCAACTGGAAAACCACAGCTGGGGCATCGTTTCCCCTGCTTCAGCCCCTGCTTTGTAGGGAATCCACAGGCTGACTGGGCATTGCTAGTTGAGCATGCCACAAAGCCAGCACGGCACGAGTGGGTGGGGTGTCTGCTTCCATGCTCACTTGTAGGATGCTGGCTTCTCCTTGGCGCATCATCCTTCTCCCTCCTATAAACATGCTGTGGTCCTCAAAGCTGCAGGCATTTATTTTGAATTCTTTATGAGGCAAGGAAAACCACACCACATTCAAGCCACTCAAATGTTGAGTAAATTGTTTAAATATAACCAGATGCTTGGGGGGGCGGGCGGTTGCTTATTGTGCAAGGGGAAAGTAACAGCCCCTTTAGTCATCTCCGTAGCCCAAAGCCACTGCCAGAACCCACAAAGCATGCAGTTACCCATTAAAATGCTCTTTAATAGGAAGTGGAGAAGACTATGTCCCTTTCCTTACTCCAGCCTTTCCTAATGTGGCACCCTCCAGATGCATCACCCCTGACCATTGGCCGTACTGGCTGCGACTGACGGGAAATGTAGTTCAAAACTCTGGAGAAAGCTTTCTCCATCCTCAGTTCAACGTGCTTTGGCTGCTGCTCCTGCCAATGATGGCTGTACACATGCATTTTTCTAATTCTGGGGATAGTTTTGGAGCTGCACCCCATATCAAGTTTTTTGGTTACACACCTAAGATTCTTAACATGTATGTTTATTTGGACAGTCATGTATCACATGTGTCCATGGACTGAATAGCCAGGATCAATTGCAACTCTCCATCAAGTACATTCTTGGTCACAATAGCCAGGTGTGCTGCCATATAATGTATGGGATTGCCCTGTTGCATCAAATTTGCTTGGGGGTCTGAAGAACAAATTTCTTTCATAATCTGTGGTTCTAGTAAAGGTAAAGGGACCCCTGACCGTTAGGTCCAGTCATGGATGACTCTGGGGTTGTGTGCTCATCTTGCTCTATCGGCCGAGGGAACCGGCGTTTGTCTGCAGACAGTTTTCCCCGGGTCATGTGGCCAGCATGACTAAGCCGCTTCTGGCGAACCAGAGCAGCGCATGGAAATGCCGTTTACCTTCCCGCTGGAGCGGTACCTATTTAGCTACTTGCACTTCGTGCTTTCGAACTGCTAGGTTGACAGGAGCTGGGACCGAGCAATGGGAGCTCACCCCGCCATGGGGATTCAAACCGCCGACCTTCTGATCAGCAAGCCTTAGGCTCTGTGGTTTAACCCACAGTGCCCTTACACTTTATAGCAGTCTTGGCCCACCAGGGTGTCCAGTTTGGCCCATGAGGCTGTTTCCCCCCAAACCACACCAAACTGTTAATTAGCTGGTGTCACTCCAATAGGCAGGTCATGTCAGCTAATGGGTGGAAGACGAGGTTCAACTCTGTGCTGGGAGCTGGTGTGTGTACCCAAAGAAGCTGGGTTTAACTTTCACTCATAAGCTGATGGGGCATGGTTTAAATCTTGCTCAGACCTCTGTAGGATGAACAGATAATTCCATCCTGCTCTGTGCTGCTTTGCCAGTGTGCTCCCCGCAGAACGCCCCCCCCCCACTTTGTGGGTCAACTTTGACAAGTGGATAGCTACAGGGAGGGGCTCACATGATAATGCCCCTTCATAAATTTTAAAACACACAAGATGAGAACAGGATCATGCTATGTTCTGTGTAGGTTTGACATCAGTATGAAGAGGCTGCATGCAGACGGAGGTTTGTTCACAGGGCTTCTCCATGTGAGAGTGAACCCTGATTGACTCAGGATCCCCCACGTGTATGGAAAAGCTCTAGATGAGTACAACATTCACTTGGCCCCTTTGCACTGAAGCCAAATGTCTGGATGGTGGAGGGTGTAGCTGATAGACGTGATCCTGGTGTTCCACCATGTTCATCAGCATGTGAGGGGTATCCATATCTAGAGGGTACCAGGTTTGTGGCGAAAGGAGGCTGTATCCTAACAGAACAGGCACTAGGACCTGAAACCTTTCTAGCCTTCCTCTGAAGAAGGGCTGCCACATTTCCAGATGGGCCTTCAAAGAAATGAATGGAAAGAACCAGCGTTTTCCTCATAACCTCTATAACCCTGGTGCCAAACCCAACAAGTGTCCATCTGTACTTCAGTGTTTATGAATTGCTAGCATCATAAAAGAAGAGGAACAGTTATTTTAAGGTTCTGAAGCTTTTGCCTACTTATAATGAACACCTTCCTTACCCTTGCTGAAAAATCCACTGTGTAAACAATGCATCGCTTTAATGCAGGGGCCCACAGCCTCCCCTCCTTCCTCTACTTTGCATCAGTTAGCCTTTAAATAGGGGGAGAGAGAAGGAGGGAGGGAGGGAGGGAGGGAATGAACAAACACCCATGCCATACATTTAAAGCACTCCTTAGCCCCTTTAAACAGTCAGAGCTTCCCCCAAAGAATCCTAGGAAGTGTAGTTTGTTAAGGCTGCTGAGAATTGTATGACCTTTCACAGAACAGCTGTTTCCCTGCATGGTGCTAACCTTGCAGCCCTTCGCCTGCAACACTGCTGGTGTACAATGATGTACACCAACCTGTACAATCTGTAGAAGCTGTACAAGCTGTAAAGTGTACAATCTCCCCTTCCCTTTGACCACCTGGATGGACATAGGTCTTCTTCCCTTTGCCCATTTACTAGTCAGTGGCTACTGCATTATCAGGTAGTAATTCTTCTGTGTGTCTATATCAGCTGTGATTTGATCATTCAACTGTTCCCAATGCAGGGATGCAGCAGAACTACTGTTCCTCATAGGAGGCTGTTGTTTCTCTGCATGAATCACTGGCCATGAAGCACAGTCAGAAGAATGACAGGGAACAGGGTCCTCAATGGGAAGGCACTTCTTCCTTATACATTTGTAGAAGGAAACTGTTTTGGATGTAAGAAAGAGGTCTGCTTCCGGCTCTAATTGTGTTAAAAGTATTACATGGTTATTGGAAGTTTGTGACATGCTGCTGTAAGGAGTATGTGTGTGTTTAAGCAGCTTTTTTTTATTCTAAGGAAGGTATCCAGGTGTGGGCAATATAACTTGTTTTTAATGTGAACAAGCTGCGCATGTGTACTAGATTCCAATGGGACTTACTGTATGCCAAGGTTCTGGAGCTTATTCCATCAGGAATTGCTGGTTTGGTTTACAGCCAGAGCTTTTCTCGTAGCATGGTGAGTCTTCCTGCCTACAGGAATTGCTGCCAGCTTGTGCCAATAAGTTGAGGAAAGTACCGGAAATGTTTTCCTACTTTGCACTCCTCTCCATCAGTTTTGCAAGATCCCAGTTTACAAATCCTTGAGCAGGAATAGGAAGCTACGCTACTGCCTTCTTTGCCGTAACACGGTTGGCCTGGGGAAAACATAATCTGAGGTTGTCAGTAGCTTAGAAAAAACACTTCAACAAATTGCACAAAAAAGGCCAATCTTCTTAATTTTTAAAGGAAACACCCATTAGATTCTGCTATATGTTCAAGAGTACACAGCAATGCTACATAATGTCTTGGAGCAGTTTAGCATCACCATCCCTAACCATTCATATGTTTGGACTACAATTCCCAGCAGCCCCATCCAGCATTACCAGTGGTCAGGAATTATAGGTTTTGTAGTCCACAATATCTTGAGGGCACCACATTTACTACCCTGCTCTAGAACAGCAGTAGGGGACCTGAGACTACAAGTCCTTTAATTGCTGATCATGGACCAAGCTGGATGAGGCTGAGGTGTGTTGAAGTCCAACAAGATCTGGAATGCCCCAGGTTCCCTATCCCTGCTCTAAAACCATATGTATCACAAATGTCATTCTTGTCATTGGTACCTGTAGATGAGGGAATCTCTCCTTTTTAAATTTCAACCATGCAGATGCCAGCTGAGGTTTCGTAATGGAAGTTCAGGCACTTTATAAAGGAGATAGCAATAGCTAAATAAAGGGGAGGGAGTTCAAGGTGCAACCAATGTACCATTCCTAAATTATTATTTTTTTCCAACTTTCTAGGCCAAATGTCTGTGGGAGTCAGTGCTGCTCAGGGTGGACAACAGCTCCTGGGACCAATCGGTGTATTAAACGTGAGTATAAAGAATAAAATCTTATTCTCAGTGATGATTATATTAGGAAGTGCTGTATTATACAGTCTCAGTTCCCATAGTAAGGGGCACAGGTGCATCTAAGCCCTGTTCAGGCATATAAGAAGTGGGGTGGGGATGATGGTCATAGAACATACTATATCTGTCCCATTCACTTCTGGAATGACCAGCTGACTAGAAAATGACCACAAAACTGGGCCTGAAGGGAGCCCACACAAAAATAGATGTGTTCAGGCATTCATATGAACATGTGTGTTGACTAAAGTTTTCTTGTGGTGTATTAAAACACAGGTTTAATGCAAAAGGATGGATTTGTA